GCGGCGGCAGACGTTCTGTACCGACACTGCCGTCCCTGAAAGAGAGGAGAGAGGCCGCTGCTGTGTCTCTCTTCAAGGCCATGCTGAATCCTGAACACCCCCTGCACGACCTGGTTCCTGCCCAGAGACAGTTTGTCACAGGAAGATCGCTGAGGAACAGTCACAACATCACTGTTCCCCATGCAAGAACCAAACGGCTGCAACAGTCGTTCCTGCACCACACCATTAGACTTTACAATAACCTACCTTGAACCTACATTGGACCTTGCATAGCCTGACCAAGCAACTTTGTGCATATCTGCTGTAAATAATTTTATATGTTTCTTTTGTATATATGTTAGTTTAGATGTATTATTTTTCAATGTGAACGTGTTTTTTTTTAAATAATGTGACAAATTGTACCTAATTCAGGGGGATGCGCTCCTGATCCCTCTGCTGTTGCACATTTGTAAAATGATGAGCAATAAATAATTTTATAGCTCAGTTGTTTTCCAAATCGAAGTGTGAATCTCTGAGTCCACACTATGTACAAAAATCATACATTTTGACCTTTTACTATTTTTTGGTGAGAAAAAGACAAAAAGAAGAAATACCCGATTTTCACACCCTATTCAAACCGAGTGGTTTTTTGAGGCCCGCGCCAACTTAAATCTCAAATAGCGGCTTGACCTAGAACCATCAAATTTGTTGACCTTTCCTAAAATATACCTGGGAAAAATTTCATTTTACTTAAATAAATTAATGATTTTTTGTGTTTCTATGGCAACGGGTTTCGGACAGGCAGTTTTGGGGAAAATAAGTAATTTTGGTTTAACCCTACCTAGACTGGGCTTTTTTGGGCATGGGGGGCCAGGGGTGGGGGCTCATTTGACCCCCCCCCCCTCAGAACTCCCGAACGGTATGTCGTATGACCACTAAATTTTTAAGAGGATGGTGTACTAGTAAAATTTATCATATGTACAATTTTTTTATGTCGTTATGACGTAATAGGACGTCATTATGACGTCTTTTAATATGATTTTATTGGCCAAAACCGTCTAGATTTTTCCCTGAAAACTAAATGGTATTCAACATAACTTTACCAAAAGTGTTTATGACAGAATATTAGGGTGTACTAAGTCTTAAGTTACCTATAGCAACACCGGTGACGTCATAAAATGACCTCATGCATATTTAAGATATCCGCCATCTTGGATCATCAATCTTAGATTTTTAAAATATTTAAAAAAATTTTAAAACCAACTCCGACTACATTACTAGATCCGGGAGGACAGTGAAACAGCCGGATAGACTGAATCTGTGAAGTACACACATATGAAGTTAATTGACTGAACAAACAGACTCTAAATATGGATTAAGAAAAAAATGCATGTAAATCAGTAGAATCGTTAATGCAATGTACTTTAATACATATCACTAGCCCCATCAGAGACACTGAGAACATCAAGAAAAAGACCGTATAACCGGAGAGAGAGAGAGAGAGACATTTTACTAAGTTGGGGAGGAATTTATATGTACACGTTTCTGTATAGAATCCTTCCTAATAACCAAAATCTCATTAAATTGAAATTAATAGTAAAATCTGTTCAAAAATAGAGGACGAAAAACATATGGTTTTTCAATGCAAAAAAAACTTTTTAAAAAAAATCGAGAAATTACTTAGCATTATAATGTTGAAACATTGTTATATGGATGTCCACAGAATCAAGAAAAATCAAGTGCAACTAATCATACAATAGCTGTAGCAAAGTACGCCATTTTTAGAAGCTGGTGCACTTATAAGGACAAAGGTTGTTGTAATGAAATCGATCCATTCTCTGTTTTTTCTAACTGATTCTACTTCCATCTTAAAAATAGAACAAAATATATCATACATGAACGCAAAAAGAAAATGGGGAGATCTTCTGTGTCTTATAGATTGTAATTAATATGCTGTATCGTCTGTAAATTTTAAGTACATTATTGTGATTTTGAATAAATACCACGACTCTTGGGATCGTGGAAAAAAACCTTATTTTTTATATTTGGGGCCTATTATAATCAGTTGTTTAGTTCTCGTGAACCTTTTTTTAAATCTGAAATTGATCTCATTTGGAAGCAAATGTACACAAAGTCGAGCAAAGTTAGTGGACGAATAACATTTTAGGTAAACAAAATCACTTGTTACATTTTATTTTGACGAGAATATACTCTCCAATTACTTTTGTTTATTTCTAAATTTTATCCGTTACTACCGGGCCGGCCCGGGACTCCCGCGCGGCCAAGCAACAGGCTGTCGTGAAAAAGTCAACACGTTTAGTGGTTCAAACTGAATTTATTCAGACATTATACAAAAAGACAGTGGGTACGGGCCTCAGTCAAAACACCGCCTCCTCCTCATAACGGCTGTTACCATGGTAACCCGTTATCAGCCCAGAATGAATCTTTTGTAAATGCAAGATAAGAAAACGAAATATCAAGCGTTTTTCATATGAGAAGGAATTTTATCTTGCATTTACAAAAGTTGATTCATTCTGGACTGATAACGGGTTTCCACAGCCAAGATATGGATGTTTTATTTACCCATAATCTAGTGGTTACAATTCTTCCGTAATGGTATCAATGGTTTATTCTTGGGGTCACTGTCGCCCTCCTCATTAGGAACCCAGCGTTTTTTTCTGATATGATGTGCACAAAGATCTAAGCCATAACTGTGCCAAAATCAACTATTTGCCTTTTAAGCGGCCATGGTTCGCTTAAAATGTCCAAAAATGTCCCTCTTTTCAATTTTGAAATTTTACAAAAACAGGCAATCTTTAAACGTCTGCTACAGCTCACAGGCACCACAGAATCATTTAACCCTACCTAGACCGGGGGGGGGGGGGCTAAAAGTGCCCGCGACAACTTTGATGTCACCTAGCGTCTGAACGGCTAGCCGTAGAACGGCCAAACTTGGTGACTTTTCCTAGAATATTGTTGGAAACAATTCTCTATCATTGGAATAAGATAATAATTTTTTGTGTTGCCATGGCAACGGGTTTCTGACAGGCATTTTTTGCTAATTTAGTACTTTTTCTTTCAACAATAGAATTTTATGGGTTTTATGTCAAGTTACTCATGGTTTCTAATATTAATAACATCCCATATAATTTTATGTAAATTTTATCATTAAATATGCATTAATAATGCTAATTTGATGACGTCATTGGCCAAAATCCAAGATGGCGGACCATATCATTAGAACAGGTATATACAGGTTATTTTCATTAAAATTTCATCAATACTTCCATTTCTTTTTCCAAAAAGGATTAAATGAAGGTCTTTAGTATGTTTACGATGTATTTTCAGCTTTATCATGAAAAAAAATATTTTTGAAAATTCAAGATTGATGATCCAAGATGGCGGATATCTTAAATATGTATGACGTCATTTTATGACGTCACCGATGTTGCTATGGGCAAAATAAGACTTAGTACACCATAATATTCTGTCATAAACACTTTTGGTACAGTTATGTTGAATACCATTTAGTTTTCAGGGAAAAACCTATTTAGACGGTTTTGGCCAATAAAATCACATTTATGACGTCATAATGACGTCATATTACGTCATAACGACATACAAATTGTAGATATGATAAATTTTGACTAGTACACCATTCTCTGAAAATTTGGTGGTCATACGACATATCGTTCGCGAGTTCTTAGGGGGGGG